TCCAGCTTCACGCTACTGTCTTAGAAATGCCTGAACTTTTAGAGAAAATGAGAAGAAACATTAATACTATTATTAATATTAATACGATATTAATACGATGGTGTACACGTTCATTTTCGTAACGAGCTCTGCCCGATTTTTATTCGGGGATTATCGACCTTTTATTTTCATTCATTAATAAAGTTGAGTTATCTTGTCAGAAAAGGCCTATTGTGTTTATGGGATAAGAAACATATAGTAATACGTGGTTGCTTGTAGATAAGAAATTTATCTTCTCGTGTTGAACTCGACAACTCAATCGTCCGCTTCGCTCACTCGTGAGCTATCGAGTTAAACACTCGAAGAGGAATTCTATATCTACGGGCGCCCATATATTATTCCCTGTCGTTTATTACTATTATTATTATTATTATTATTATTATTATTGTTATCATTATTATTATTTTCAAAGGAACATGGTTTGTTTGTAGACTATCAGGCTGGTGGACAACGAAAGCTGACTCTGAAATATTGTTATACTTCTATCGCTGCGTGCATATGGTGAGGGAGATGTTTGAAGCCATACCTCATCTCACTGAGAATAGAAATATTGGCCTTAAAAGATTAAAACGAGTTGAACTTGGAACTACCCCGTCAAACTCGAAATAACTCCTTACTCAGTTTATTTTGGAGAAGTTTGTGGCCACTGAAACTTCTTTTCTATACTCTCTTAATTAAGTAGATCACAATCTATCAAATTAAGCAACTGTGCTCGTTAGGAATGAGACCATTAATGAGGGTTTCTATAAGCCTATCCGACTACTAATTTGTAAACGCGTCGAGACATCTTCTAAGACATACATATCCTTCGCAGTATCCGACTTCCGGCGTTCATGAAGTTTAAGTAACCTTTCTGATAGATTAGAATTGTTACTAACAGTAGAGGTAGCACCTTCGGTTCTTAAACTATGAAAGCCATACATGTTATGATCTAAACTGAGTTCTTTTAAGACAATCCTTAAAGATTTCCCTACACCTAGTGTATGACAACTTCCCTCCATACAACTTGTACTCACTAGTAGATTTAAACTGCCTTACTGGCCTGAACGGTGTAACTGAGCTGGAGAGATTAATATCTCTTATCCAAATATACCTTTCTAAAAGTGCCACGGGACAATAACTGTTACCTAGCCTCCCTTCCCGGAAAACATAATTCTTCGTCATGGGAACAAACACCCTCAAGGATTCAGGACAAAACTTTAAATGTGCGGGAGCAATGTTGTTCAGCTCATCATAACGAAAATACCGTCCAAAACCTAACGAGCAAATACAAGCTAAACGTAAATCCTCTTAATTAGCCGATGGACTAGCATACTTATCAATTATACTTCTATTAATATCGGCAGGAATAGATGCCTTCTTAACAGTAACTAGCTTGCAATGTTTAGCTGCTTCCAGCAAATTATGACAAACTGAACCATGAAGTGGATTGTTGTAAGAAAAGAAAGAATGAAACCCATTAGGGGTTGCGTGAGACAAAAGTAATGTGGCATAGGAGTTTGAAATTTTGTACGCTTTATAGATATACGAAACTGCGAGAGAGACAGAGTAAGGAGGCATCGGCCTAACATTGGACAAATTACACCATTCAAGAAACCTATGAATCTCTTTCTTGTATCTCTTCGATGTATACTCGCTTTAGATCTCAGTAGCGTTAAGAGAATATTTTTCAAGTCTGGCGTTATCCGAGCCGGAAGATGATTCCAGTGGCCATCCACATCAAACATCTGCAACGAGAAAAACCCTATGGTAATAGACAACATGCTCGTTAAACCTCCCGTTCTCGTTTCAAATTGACTGTCATAAAGGCTGTCGGCAAGCGCCAGTTCCTACAAAAATCTTCCATCTTCAACTCAGGCCAGCGCCCCCATTCTCTGTACACACTCAATGACAAGTGTCTCATGTCTCTTTTTCCTGCTCAACACGTAGACAGTCAACTAAGCACTACTGATTAAATTATCTAAAAGCATGAGAGGAAAAAGAGAACTTCATACGAGCAGTTAAAACTAGCCCAGTGAATCTGCCAACACCCAAGAACGAAATTGGTGTTCCGCCCATGCTCTAATCCATCCTTAGCATCGAACCACTTATAATCCTCTATGGAACTGGCAAATTTTCTGGAGATAATTCGTCAAAAATATGATGATGGCCACAAGGGTACAACTAAAGTGGCGGTGGCCTTGGAACCATATAGATAGTGAAGCGCTCGAGAATTAAAGCTTACAGGGGGAACAACAAGGCAATCTTCGCCAACCAGATTTTGAACGAAAAAACCCACCCCATTGCAGCCGGGATTCCAGAGTCTAGAGAAGCATTTTCCGATCTTCTTATCATAAAATCTAGCAAAGCAATTTACGGTATGAACCCCCTCCCCCTCAAGTATGTGTCTAGAGACGCGAAGCAAGCGGCCGGCATTTTCCAATCGTCTACATCGATAATGCGACTAATATAATCCGCTCTGTCAATTTAAGAACGAGGAATTCAATGAACTTTCAATACAATGTTATAATCGCCACAAAACTGAAAAATCTCCATGGCGATTAAGCGCAAATCGCTCCTCATGCTTCCTACTTATAAAATTTTACAAGCATTTTGACCATCAGAAAACCACCTCACGTAAGAGCCTTTAACGGGGGGCAAAAAAGATTGCAGGGCGAACGAAATAGCTGACAGCTCCTTCCAAGTGGAAACTTTACCACAATCATTTACATCCCATAACTTATGACATACTTGTTCACTGTTGACATCTAAGTGAGCGCATCACCCTGTGGCGCTAGCATTGGAATAAACTACGTAATTAGATGTTTCAGACGGGCAATCCACAACTGAATTCAAGTTTAATCGTGTCAAATTCTCTTTCCAAAAATTAAGTTCCCTAACACAGTATTGACCCATATGAACTTATAATCCCATTCCTGAGAGGACACAACCGATATAGAACAGTACCTAGTCATAATTCGGGAAATTTTGCCAAAAACTACCCCAGCGGAAATAATTTTACCCACTAGGGAAGATAATTCCCGAGCCGACACGAGATAATCTTTAAGGAGGATCCTGCCTACAGATTTCGCGATGCCTAATTCCCGTCTGTTCGAAACACGAATTAAAACGGGCGGGTTGGTGGGGAATGAAGGAACGTCAGTGGAAAGAGAGAGGGGGAGGACGTGATAATACTCTGTAACGCCTTCAATACTTAAAAAAAAATACCCAGTCAGGAAACTCTTAGAGACACGCCTAACGGCGTGTCACAATAACCAACAAATAACGAGCTATAAAGGTGAAAGAAAACTGCATACCAGCGGAAAATAAATTTCTAAATCGCTACGCTCAAACAAAAGTAAATTACTCTCCCCTTCAATTCTGAAAAGACATAACTTAACAGCCTGATGGTTGATTGCTCAGGCAATCCAACCAACGCGAGACTTCACAAAGTAAAACATTAAGGGATCTTACTGCGGAAAAGCTGAGAATCACTACCGGACTTAAATTTTTCCATCGCATTACCACCGATGCCTTTAACTTCTTTTCTTTTCCTCTCCATAGCCCTCTTTGCCTTGCGAAGCTTTTTCTCATCCTTTGAATCAGCCGCGAGATCGTCGGACTCGTACTCTTGAACCAAACGCCAACCCTCCTTGTTTCTATCGGCAATCTTGATCAGCGTCTGACGCTTCTTGACTAGCTAGCCTTCGGCGACTAACTTGAGAACCTCGCATGGGTTCTCGAAGCTGCCTGCAAGTTGGGTCAAAATGCTATTCAAGTGCGAATTCAACTCGAACTGCTTTCTATTTCCCTTAAACTTAATCGTAGAAGCTTATTTTCCGATTTTGGGGACTTCCTCCAACTGTTTGCCTTTTTCCTCCAATTGGGAAGTGGAGTATCCCTTAAAAAGCGAGAACACTTTGTTTTCTAACTGAGAATTCGGGAATGAATGAAGGAACGTTAGCGGAAAGCAAGAGCGAGAGGACGCGATAATACTCTGTTACGCCGTAAGAGTGGTCGTCTGTAAAAATCGAGCAGAGGTGTTGAAAATAAAAAAAAAATTGAAATTTTTTTCCAGAACATCGGCATGAATGGCCTTAGTTACGGCAAAATATCAAAAATGCCGAAAAAAAAAATTTTGTATAATATGTATATTGAATATGAAGGAGACCTCTTTCGAAGTTTGGTATGATATAAGAGGGAATTCGAGCGTTTTGGTAATGCTTTTTCTTGAAGTGACGTGCTAGTCACGTCGGTCACGTAACGTGCTTCTTGAGCTCAAATACGCTTATATAAATCGCTCTAAAAATTCGTAGTTTAAGTAGCCCAGAGATTTTATTTTTGATATTTTTCCGTAACTAAGGCCATTCATAGCTATGTTCTGGCAAAGTTTGAAAAAATTTTCAATTTCTTTTTATTTTCAACACCTCTGCTCGATTTTTACAGACGACCACTCTTAAATACTAAGAAACAAAACTATCCTATCATGAAACCCTTCGAGAAACGCCTCTCGGCGTGTCGCAATAATCAAAAAATAACGAGCTATAAAGGTGTAAGAAAACTGTATACCAGCGGAAAATTCAAATTTTACCGTGTAAGAAAATAATCATAACATTAATTATCATCATAAAATACCAACAAGAAAGATAAAAATGATAGTAATCGTGAATAATAATCGAAACAATTGTAATGTCAAAAAAACTAAAGTTATTCGCTGCAATTCAAGTGATATGATACAACAAAGTCGTTCACCGGACGAGTTCTGTGTTGGTCGGTGATACTCCAACTGGATTTGCTTGGTCAGTACCGTAACGAAAAAAAGAAAAATCCTTAAAGTTGCCATTCTTTGTTTTGCCTGGGAAACTTCTTTGTACGTTCATGAGGATTCCTACAAAATGGTTTCCCAAGGTTGTTGAGAAAGGTGGATAAGAGAAACAAATGATTTATGACGTTTATGTTAATAAAAACCTCCTAACTGACTTTCATGTTTCCGTGTTAGACTGAGCCGAAGAATATAGGTGACTTCGCGTCTCACTGCTGGAGTAGTTTGAGACGGATTTGTAACCTGGCAATGTATAAAGAATACTTCAAAATCAATTAATGTTCTGATCAAAGTCCGAAAAAGACCGAAACGACATTCATAGACTAATCATGGGGTTTCCTAAAAACAAAATTTTACTTCTAGATAGAAAGTGAGCTTATTAATAAAATTGAGACTTTTTTTTTCTTTTTTTTCCAGAAAAAGGCAAGTTCAGTAATCGTCTTGAGCGTTAGAACGAGGGATATCTTCGACGAGAGATAGGATTTTACTTCGAAAAGAAAAGACAAAGACTGCTACGGAGCTTATGGAAGTCCTTGAATAGTTTGTGATGAACTTGTAAACGGGCAAGAGTATAAAGAATAACGAAAAATCAATTAATACTCTGATCGAAGTCCGAAAAAGACCGAAACGACATTCATAGACTAATCAAGGGGTTTCCTAGAAACAAGTTTTCATTTGCATGAAAAAAGGAAAAGCTGAATGCAAATTAAAGTCAATTCAAAGTCCTCAAGGCTTTTATTGTTGACTCAAAACATGTTTATTGTCATTAATAACGAAATCTTTGCTGCTCTAAACCGTCAGTTGTCTCCCTCTTTATTTGAGAAAAAATGCTAGAACTGTGTAACAATTGATATAAATAACATTAGTCATTGCGGATCTAAAAACATTGGCAAGAAGATTTTCAAACAAATTCTAGACTTAGTAGTTATTACTATTAGAAGGATTTTTCTTCTTATAATCCAATTATTCCAATGTGAGCTCAAACGATACCTTTCCTTAGACTTTTAAAATTTAGAAACTACAAGAAACAGTGCCTCTGAAGTCAACCCAATTGATATCCTTTGGAGAAATAAGAATAACGAAGAGTATCACAACATAGTGGGACTCAATGGGCCATGTGTTTTGTTTACTTCAAAGAAAGATCGAGTAACCCATGTGTTATAAACGAAGTTTTACTTCAGTTTCTGTAATTAACAGCAAAGTTTCCTTTCAAATTGTTACTGTTATGGTGCCTTTGCCTTTCTTTCTGGGATAGCTTAAATCAATCGCATCATACAGTGTTACTGGTACACATATTCCCCAACAAAATTTGAGGATTAGTAGATAA